GAGCTCTCTCTGTGTCCTCCATCATGATTACCACTCAGAGTCTCAACAGTGACGATGCTCGTCTGGCTGATCTAGGCTACAGGCAAGAGTTCAAAAGACACTTCACGCTATGGGAGACGTTCGGCCTCTCCTTTAGCATGGTCACCGTCGTGCCTGGCATCGCGTAAGTTTCATGGACAACCTGTGTATCTGGCGATAAAGGTCAATAGTTCAGTATTCTTCATCTCTGTCTCTAATGGGGGACCGGTCTCGATGATTTGGGGAGTAAGTGCTATATATCTACTTCATGTGTACTTTCGTCGTCCTAATGGATCTTATTCATGAGTGGCTGACTGCTGGTTTCTTTATCACTCTCGTTTGCATTGCAGTCTCGGAACTCGCATCGGCCGCTCCTACCGCTGGTGGGCTTTACTATTGGACTCACCGATATGCCCCTCCGCGATGTCGCAATCTCCTCTCGTGGATCGTTGGTTGTCAGTACTTCGTATTCGGTGCAAGAGTTGCAACTAACACAAATGATTAGATTCAAACACTATATACCTCATGGCCGCTATTGCGTCTTGTGCCTGGTCGATTGCGCTCCAGATTGCTGCTTGTGTTACCATCGGATCAAACTTCACCTGGGCGCCTACTACTGCGCAGCTTTTGTCAGTGCCCGCTGCACCGTTGGACTTAGAAATCTGACTAGGCGTCCAGTGGTATATCTACCGCTGTGCTGGTAGCTCAAGCTTTAGTTGCTTGTTTTGCTACTCGTATCATGGCTCGTTTGCAAAGCTTCGTCATTGCTCTCAACTTCATGTGTGTGCTGCCCAAAGGCTTCTGGGGTGTTGTCGCCAATACATCGATAGTTTGATTCTAGTGGTGATCATATCTCTTCCAGCTGCAACGCCGAAGGAATTCAAGAATGACACGAGATATGCTCTGGGTGGATTCGACAACGGTGCGATTGTGTCCCGTTCATCTTTGGCCGTCCATCTAATTCAGTAATGCAGTCAACGGCTGGCCCAACGGATTTGCCTTTTGCTTAAGTTTCCTCACACCACTCTGGGTTATTGGTATGACTCCGTTGAGTGAACAAGATTCAAGTAGTAACACCGATCTTACTTTCTAGCCGCCTTCGATGTGACTGCCCACATTAGCGAGGAAGCTTCCAATGCCAACTTTGCGGTCCCATGGGCGAATATGATGGCTACGAGCATCGCGGTCATAACCGGTCTCGGTAAGTCATTGTTTCTAGCGCAATTGCAATGATTTAACCTCGTACTAGCGGTTAACATTGCTGTCGCATTCTGTATGGGGGATGATCTTCTGTCAATAATTTCTGATCCTACTGGTCAACCTTTTGCGACGGTAAGCTGCAGCCCAGCTTCCATTTTCCCCACAATACCTTATATGAGCGTTTTATACAGGTGCTGCATAATAGCTTGGGACCAACGGCTACGATCGCTGTGTTCACCTTTATTGCACTAGGCTTGTGAGTTCTCTTTGTTGCGAGGGAATTGTATTTCTTACGAGCCCGCAGTTTCTTGACCGAAGCCAACCTTGTGCGTTGACCACTTTCCTCATTTCTGATATATACCGACGACTTCCTTTTATTTCCTTAGACTTTGGCTGCATCACGGCAGACTTTTGCTTTCGCTCGAGACGGTGCTCTTCCGTGCTCCTTTTGGATCTACCGGATGAACAAGTTCAGCGGAACACCCGTCAACGCAGTCTGGGTTGTCACCACTGTGGCATTCATTCTCACTCTTCTTGTCTTTGCCGGACCAACCGCCATTACCACCATTTTCTCTCTGCCCATTGTTGCGCAATATCTCGCCTATATTATCCCCATCTTCTGCCGATTCGCTTTCAAAAACGATTTCACACCTGGACCGTTCTATACCGGTTGTCTCGTACGTTGGACGCTTCTCTCTCGACTCCACGATATCCTTACGTTTCACCGCAGAGTGCTCCGATTTCAATCCTCTCCTTGGTTTGGATGCTCTTTATGATGATTGTCTTTATGTTCCCAGCGACACCCATGGTTTCGTCTATCAGCATGAACTATACAAGCGCATGCCTTGGGGCGTGGGTTCTTTTGTCTCTTATCGGGTATTATTTCCCATTCAACAGACTCGGAGGCGTTTATTGGTTCAAGGGGCCGGTACCTAATATAGATTCCGAGAGGGAGCTCACTTCGAGCGCTGCGAGTGCGGAGAAATCAGGCGATTCCAATACCCTCGAGAATAAGGCTCCAACCGTTTAGCTTTTGTTTTGTGTACGAAGCCCCATAAACTAAATGGTGACATTGGCAGATGCGCGAGAAAAGTCACCAAACCCGTGAAACTGATTGTGAAGTGGGAAATGGGACGGTTAGCGAGAGAAATGTCTGAATGAGAGTAGAGTATGACAGGTAAAAATTCAACGGACAGGGGTCAGAGGTATGTACGAAGCGGAAGAGTGGAACGCGAAGGAACGCGCCTGTAAGTATGTGTCGTGGCACACCTCTCGTATGGTAGGCGCTCCCATGAAACTGATTCCAAACCAGGGGGGCAGTGGCTGTAACATCGCGCAGGTAGGTCGCTCAATGGGCAGCCGGTAGCTCGCTCCTGCTCCCGCTCCGGAAAAAACAAAAGCAGCGCGCGCTGGGACTGGTGGCGTGGAGCGCAGCACTGGAAAAGTCCGTCTTGTCGGAACGAGCGGCGAGCCGACATAACTTTGGTGGACCAGGCAAAATCGCGGAGGAACGCAAACAACTCCGCGCACCGCTGTGTGGTTGGGAGCGATGGAGAAAATAGGCGGGCGCACGATCGGAACACATATCATTCTTGCGGGCAGCGGGCTCCCATACGACGTCGGCACCCTCTGTTACAACGCGCGCGCGCGAGCAGCGCAGGATCTCCGCCCGAGCGGGGCACGGTAAATAATCCTAGTTCGGTCTTTTGGTTCGTCCATCGTCCGTTGTCCTCCCCCGTCCCGTCTTCCTTCCACCGTCCTCCGATTAGAGCGCGAATCGCAGCGCTCGATGTCGGGATTGTGACATTTCGCACAGGCACTCGTATGTCTGGTGCATGCGACGCAAAAATAAGAACGAGAACGAGAATGAAAAGAACGAAACCGTGATGTAACCTGTCCTCCCACACCTTGTGCAGTACAGGAAGCCGCCCTCCGACGTTCCGCGAGCGAGAGACTCATAGATGTCCCACAACACATCCACATCCACTCCCAACCAGGTCGACGAAGCGATACATACATCCGGTCGCTCGGATGGATCGAAAGCGAGGCTCGGTGAAGGCGTAGTAGGAGGGGGCGGGGGAGGTAGGGAGCAGCAGCATGCTTAAAACGCAGAATAGATGCCTATGCACCACCATCGCGACGCCCGCAGATTTGCGAAGCCCGGATGAGGAGCTACGGGCCGGACGAATCGGCGATGCGGACCGGTGTAAGCAGTAGGCGCGATACCCGCCGTTAGTAAATACGAGCATCGGGCGCTGGGTAGCAGCGGTGGAGCGAGGGTCCGCAGATGCGCGCAGAATCCAATCTAGAAAGTAAGAAGGTCCCGCTGAAACGAGTCCGGCGGCGGGAGAAGTCGGGGGGCGCACGGGCAGGATCTTCGCCCGTATGCTGAAAGTATCTGGTTCGCGAAGCAGAAGTGCCACAGTGAGCGCGTAAGAATGATAATGGAAGCGAGAACGAGAGGACACACTGTCAACACGTTCCATCCGTGAAGGGAAACCGTCTCATCAGCGGTAGGGCTCACAGAGTGAGACCGTCAATCCATGAGTGTGTGCAGCAGAGCACTAGAGGGGATCGCGTACCTCTCCCAGGACCGCGAAAAGAGATACAAGAGTCGGAATCCTGGGCCAGGGAAAGGGTTTTGAAGGGCCGGAGCGTCGCCAGCTCAAAAAGGACGCAAAGCAGGAAAATGGCCGTGCAATATTGCTGTAGAGGCACCAGGCACACTTGCTTATAATACCCAGCAGCATCCAGAGTTTCAAAGACGCACCCGAGGCACGCCAGCCCTAGCTTCTTGTTACATCCGACAGTGCCAGCCCAAAAATATTGCGCAAAGACGCGTTGCTCGCAATGAAGGTCATGGATAGATGCTTTCGACGAGCGGTGGGTAGCGCGATGACGGTTCGGGACAAGCTGAGAGCGTCGGTCCGGCAGTTCTGAATTCCCGAGCCATGATCACGTGGATTATGGCACGCGCTAACAACACGCCAGTCAGTTTCCCCCAGTCCCAATTGATTTTCACGCTAAAATCTAGGCCCACGGCCGTCAATATCGTCGCACTCTGGTTAGGGACGGCAATTTATCTGCCCGTAACCGCGAACACCGTGTGGCCTCGCCGCCAATGATGTGTTGAACGAGTAAAATTCAGCAAACAAGGGATTTGAACAAGCAGGTGTGCAACAAACGCAGGAAAAATTGTTATGAAGTTGCTGGTACCAATGTTTCCAGGATTTCTATACCACCAAGATTCCAGGTAGGAATATGGCTCGGACGCGGATTGGTCCACATTCACCAGATCCACAAATGAAGTCTGCGGTGGAAGCCGCCTGTTCGATTCAGGCCCGAGTCATATTTCAATGTCCAAATCGATTTTTTTGTTGCACAGGGCTTCACATTGCTCAGTCAGAGCTGAATTGACGTGGTGGGTGACGCCGTCGCGGCATGACTGGTACATGGCCTTTTGAAAAAAGTCGGAACGGCGGACGTTATATCAACCCTGGCAGGCAGTCACCGATTGATAATCGTAATAACTCTAAATTTAATGAAATTGGCGGAAATATGTGACTTCTGTACAGCCGCAATATGGGCTTCAAAACTGAGTGGACAGTAGAAATATTTTGCTCGCAGGAATCCCGCACGAAAAGAGAATCATGAAGGATTACTTTGTACTCATAATAAGATGCTTTGATAATCCTGTAAGCGAAGGTCGGGGACTGTAGATCCATCGCCCCAATAAATGAGGGAAAAGAAACGAAGAAAAAGAAAGCAAGCAGCGATGGTCATGACTCAGGCCCGAGTCGAACGGGCACCTTCCACAAACAAATCTATTCCACCACATGTGTAATTGAAGTGGACGTAGACCGTCTGCCACTGAGTCGTTGTGAGGCCTGGAAGGCAATTTGAAGATACTTACCGTAAGCCTGAAAGAGAATTAATTGCGGAGTCTCGATCTACTTCGTTGGTTTCCAATTATCTTTGTCAACTGCTAAGTGTTCAGCTCGCTCTTTCTACACCGTCTCGGTGCGGTGCGAACGCGAATTCATTCATGGAAATGGATTTTGAAAATTTCCATTGAGCGGACCCACCGAGATGAAGATGCTAACCTCGTGAACTCGCAAGAAACTAGCCCGGGACCGCAAGTCGAGCGCTGTCCCCGGCCGGCTCGATCTTCCCCGACTGGCACTGTCGCGCTTCGTGCGCGGCTGCGCTCGTAGTTTAGTCTTTTTCCGCCATTCCCGCGATGCCAGATTATTCTTAGTTTCGCTCCCGCTTGATTCTCTCACCATCTTCCCTTCTTTAGATACATTATTTTTTGGTCCCTTCATCGCCGCCGACCCTTTCCTTGTTGTCCACATCCCTTGTTGTTCCTTACCCTGATCCTGTCTTACTCCCCTTAGATCATTTGGTATATATTCTGTATCTCATTTTCCTGTTCCACATAATACGATCCTTTTCCCGCTTGCAATCGTCCTCCGTCGCTCACGCTCCCAGCCTCCGTCGTAGCTGTGGATTTTTGGCACAGTGCTTTGCGCTTTGTCTGATACTACCTTGCACACACACATTTCCTTCCGCGCTCCCACGGTCGGTTGGTCTGTCAGCACTTATCGCACTTTTCCCCAGTACAGCTAGACGACCCGGTAGCGGAGGGTCCGCTCCCACAACACATGCGTTAGTGGTCACCTGCGTGAATCGAATTCGCCTGATCGATTGAGGCCCGGGCCATTCTACGCTCGAGCCGTTTTTTTTTGGTTTTTAGGATCAAGGGCTTCTCGCAATGTCCCGACAACATTCATGTGGATCCAACAAACAAGACCAGCCAGGATCTGCAACCTTCAAAACTGCCGCTTACTAGACTGCGGAAGTTCCCCGTTAGACTCGGCGCCGAGTCATTATGGCCCTGTGCAAGTCTTTTCACGGTTCTCTCTGGCGCACTGCACGCGCTCTAGAATTCTTAATTCTGGGGAGAATCAAATCAAGTATGGTCAACAAACAATGGCATATGACTCGGGGGCGGGTGGCCCGCATCCACAAGACCTTTCGTTGCAGGCAACGTCCTTCTGTGGACGAGCCTGTTCGAATCAGGCCCGAGGCCTATGCGGCGCTTTTCCCGCCGTCCGTTGGACCGATCTATCATCCTAATTTTAATTTGAGCACACCCAGAACGTCGGAGGTCGACGCGTTCTCCACTCATCCTCACACGCGGAATTCAGCTTCTACTTAGTCATTCCCATGTATACAACCGCGCTTTTAGGGAGTGGTACTGTGGACAGTCTCGATGATTCTAAAACACGGTAGGAAGTAGGTCGTGCGTCTCGTCCAGGATTCCGTTCAGTCATCTCTTCCCTATATTTATTGAGCTCTGGTTCAAGCTGAAAATATTGATACGACTCGGTTGCGGGTGGTCCGCCCCAAAGACCTCCGGATTCTGGAATAACGTTTAAGCCTACTATGGACACGCCTGTTCCACTCAGACCGGAGCCATCTTTGTCCCACTGACCCATTTATTTGCTGCCTGCCTCGAACACGTATTTGATGATACTGGTATTGATATTTGATACCTCCACATTCACTCTTGAATCTTGAGAAAAAAAAACCGTCGAAATCAAATTAAAGAACGGTTTATTCAACAGACACAGATTTCCCGTTGATAATTTTATCTTACTGAGACATTACACAGCGAATGGGCGAATCATCGTTGCCCACGCATGACAGAAGCAGATAATCAGACCGTATGCGGTACAGACTTTGTTGTAGGACTAGGAAGAACGGATTCGTAAGTGGCATTGAGAATGTCAATGTGCTGAGAGGAACGAGGGATAAAATCGCAGACAAACGGCTTGGGAAAGCTAAACGGGTAGATTGACGCACATTAGACGGAACAACCGAGTGCAACAAACAGCAAGTACCTGGTCGCTGTAGAATTTTCCAGGACGAGATCAGGTTCGATAGGTTGACCATCGGGACCAATAGCTTTGCGGATGTCGAAGACGTATAGCAAAGTAACAATTGTTATCCAGAGTGTCGAGTCGGAGATTTGACGCCCGGGACAGACACTGAGAGGAAGTCAGGTGAGAAACTAAAGTAACATATGACAGGGACAAAACGAACCGACGTCCATATCCAAAGGCAAAGTCGCGGGGCTCGACAATGTTAGTGAAGAGTTTAACCCCATCTGTAAAACGTTCGGGACGGAACTCTTCAGGCTTTGGGAATATGGATTCGTCTCTGGCACATTCGCTAGCGGTGTATGTGTAGCGATGAGTTAATGGTCAGGACATGAAAGTTCTCTTACTAGGAGTTTGGAACGACCATAGTTCCTGCAGGGATGAAATAGCCGTTGTACTCCTCGTCATTAATCAATTGATGAGGCAACGCTGGAGTATCATACACGATTAATATTTTACAAGGGACACCACGCAGTACTTACCGATGGGAGCTACGACTTTCCACCTTTGAGAGATTTTCATCATAATGACCGAACGAGTGCAAGCGGAGGTACCTCATGATCTCTTTCCAAATACCGTTAATGTAAGCCAGTAGAGGACGATCGGAGAAGGTTGGCATTCGTCCATCAGCAACAACTGGATCAATGTATGCCTGTGCTTTCTTCTGGATGTCCGGGTGAGTTAACATCGCAAGAATGAAAATCTTGATCATGGCTTCCGTCTACAAATCCAGGGGTCCCGATCAGAAAAATTTCCGGAGGATCATGGCTTACGACGTCCGCACCGGCTGGACTCGACGAATCAAACTAATGTTGCAGAAGGAGAGAAGTGCTCTTACCCGCGACCGACTCGGCTGTAATCTCCTTGATCATGTGTTCGTTCGTGATACTACCATCCGGGTTCATGTTCTGTTCGATCAACCATCTAGTCATCGATGGGGCAGCTTCTTGACGTTCCTAATGACCCAGGCGATGCCTCGGTGAATATTCGACAGTGGAGAGTGAAGGGACTTACGACCTGTTTCTTGACCATATTGTAGGGCAGATTTATCATATCATTCATGGAGTCATAACAGGCCTTGAAGGCCTTAGCTTCTTTGTGACCAAAGATCCAAGAAGGGAAAAGCGTCACTGTAGTTGCCACAAACATCAGACTCGAGGCTGATCAGGGAAGGAGAGACGTACGGAAGGGGAGAACGTCAGCGATGTGAGTACCTAGAGCCTTGGATGCTTCCCGGAAAGAGTGATTCATCTTGTTCGCCAACCCAGTCAATTGGTCGTGCTACATGTACACCGACATAAACCAGTGAGCTGACGATTCTCGGAATGATCTAATGATACTATGTACCTGCGTGTCCATAGGCAATTCGCATGATGGTGGTTCTTGTCATTCTAGCAAGCTCTTGAACAAGAAACTTTGACAGAATTCTATGCATATTCACCGGTCTATTAAGAAGAGAAACCTTTCTGGCGTTGGTAATATCCTGCGAACGAGATCCAGAGCCTTCTTGTGCATATGCTGTTCATAGTGGGGCATTGTGTCCTTGTTGATACTCTGGAATATCATCTTGCGTCGATCGTGGATCTCGCCGTCATACTTCCAGGTGAAGATCGCCCAGTCAAGTCCGCACCTTCGATATCGTCATGATGTCAGAAGATTTTCTATTCCACACCAAAAAAATAATAGGTTTACCATCGTTCGAGAATAGGCATTCTGGGTCTATCGCAGTAGGATAAACACGAAAATTTGACAAGAATGCCGGTGGAAATACCCTAAATTTTCCTCCACTCAGAATATTGAAGATGAGAACCTTCAGCAGGAAGGTCATAGTAATTTCCAATGATTGGATATCCCTTTGGACCTGGCGGGAGACGGGCACGGTTGGAACGAGCTTCCCTGTTACGCCAAAGAAAATAGACAGTGGGCGCAAGAGAGGCGCACAGAAGAACAGCAAGAGGTGTCTTGTTCGAGAGCAAATCCATCTTTCGGGAAACGAGTCTGAAGGTGGTGGACACTGGAACGTGCTGGGAGAGAATCCAGTGACGCGAGCCCGCGAGATTATAAGGGGGGTTGAGGTCTTTCCCAAAGAGTTTACGAATGGAGACTAGTCTCGACTTCCAATAGTCCCGATTAATTGACTGACTCAGATTGACGGCTATTTAAGCGGCCTTATTGAAAATTTCGACACTTTTCAGCGATTTTCGCGGACCTTTTGAAGATGCATGGCCAAGAAACTGGCATTACTTGCCGCATTGAGTTATAGGAAGGACGCCACTACCGTAAATGTGGCCGTATACACTTGTATTTACGGCCCCCGTACCGTACCGGCAGCTGTTTAGAAGGAAATTTCTACGACACGTGCCGCCGTACCGGTACATTCGTAGGAAATAAAGGTCACAAGGCCAATAACAGTAGCATAGAACGGCAAATTTTAGTTCTTCCAACCGAATGCTGTTATTCGGATTCCCACTTCTCCCTCTTTATAAAATTACGATGTCTTTCTGTCCCAAGCTTTTTAAGCTCCGCTAAGCCCGCTCTCGGATCGACTTGCCGAATTACTACAAAAATTGTCCCGTCCTTATTTATTGGGAAATTCAACTTCCCCAGGCCGGCTGCCTTCCATCTCAACTCTGGAGTAATGCTGTCTCAATTGCAACCTTCTCTTGGGCACCCTTAGCCTGATAAACGGCAATGCCGGCTTGCGCTCGGCACATCATGCCGTCTCCCACACAAACACCTCCATCACTTCTCTGTCAAAAGAACTCCAGTCATGGGTTCAACACCTCGACCGAAGTGGTGGGGCGCCAAGGGCCCCGCCAAGTTCTTGTGTATCTAAAAGAAGCTGCTCTGTGTCCTGGGGCGTCGGAGCTCTCTTTGTGTTCTCCATCATGGCTACCACTCAGAGTCTCAACAGTGACGATGCTCGTCTGGC